ATATATTTGGTCAGATATTTGTATTGGTTCCACTTTGATGTATCTTTTCATTTCTCCTTCCTCAGACACGTATTCTACCAGCTACCTCTACCTTGTCTGCCATCTGGCAGCACACTACTCCAACAGTATGCCAGACTAGGATGTAAGTGATGGGAAGGCAGGGTTTTCTGCTCTGTATGGGCAGCTTAGGGTGACAAGTTAAGATAAATTCTAAGGTAGTGTAGAATGTGAGCAGGTATGCCTGGTTTCTGTTTAGAGGATGTGAAACACATTTTATTGGATTAATATAAAATTGAAAAAAATGATCAATGGTGCTACCAAATTATTTTCAAAATTGTGACTTGGTTTAATTTAGACTCAACCATATCTTCTTCTAAACCTTAGAGCCTACACTCTTGAGATTTTGTTTACATCAAAACTAAATGTTTTTGTTTAGTTGAAAGACATTGCTTAGAATTTAACAATTCAATATGTAAGAAAATACCCTGAGATTCAGGACATTAAAATGAAGTCATTAATTGACTGAATGACTTTAATGGAATTATGTCTCGTAAAACTGTTTGGCTCATTTCATGTTTCAGAATTCTGCATAGTTACCCCAATGTCCTAGAGCAGTTTGCCATTGTCTTTTGGAGTCTTATGACTTTAGTTACAAAAACAGAGAAACTCATGGCAGTGTCCCTTATTATATCAATTAAAATATATTGTGATGATTTGTATAAAATATTAGTGTCAGGAATGTAGTGCAATGTTGTGTAAAGACAAAGGTGACTTGCCATTTGTATCTTTATTAGCAATAGTGATCACAGAATAGCTGCTTTGTAAAATGCATTTTTGTTTCCTTTAGATGATTATGCAGGAAATACCAAGATCACACTTTACTCTCAGACCTTATTTTAGGTTCACTCTGAAGGTTTAGATGAAGAAGGGCTATGTTTAATAGAAGTTGGCTTTGTTTTTGTGACTGCTGCTAAGTAAAAATGGTGTATACAGAAAACAAGTTGGTGGATCTTCAATAGGTTAAACATAGAATTACTATGTGACCCAGCAATTCCCCTCCTGGGTATATATTTAGAACAGGTATTCAAACAAAAGTTGTACATGAATGTTCAGAGCAGCACTATACATAATAGCCAAAATGTGGAAACAACTCATATGTCCATTGATACATGAATGGATAAGCAAATGTGGTATGTTCATACAATGGAATATTATTCAGGCATAAAAAGTAATGAAGTCTGTCAGATACACATTACTTTCCATAGGAGTGCTCTACTAATTTTAGCTGAAACCAAATTCTGTAATCTCATCATACCTTTTCTCCTTGTTCCCTTGGTTGCTAACCTTCTAAGTAAACAAGATGGGGCATCTGTTAGTCCCCCAAAGAAAGTTTCCCATGGTAACCTAAGATTTGCTTGCAAAGGTTACCCTTCACATTTTTCTAAGCTGCTGCTGCTTCTGCTGCCAATATTGGAAAGTACACTATGACACTCAGATAATGTAACAGCCTCCATTTTGCAAAGTTTGTTGCCTTGGTTCCTCATATCAATAGTGTCGCCAATGGAAGAGTGCGCACCTTTTGAAAAGATTCCTATTTTGTGGTGAAGCCCATTAATGATTGACAGGGTGGGGTCAATCCTAAAGAACAGGCAGGTGGCAAACTCAGGTGAAGTGGTGGCGGCCTCTTGAGTCCTGCAAAACAGGCTTGTACTTTCTGGTTCGTATCACTGGTACAGGGCCCTACCTCTTTTGAGCCACAGCTGCCACACAAGGCAGTCTCTCCCAGGCCCCCTGTTATCCTCCATGGTTAAGGTCACCTTTAAGTCTGGGGGAGCTTGTTTGAAATTCTCACATAAAGCATGGAAAGCTGTGGAATACTGAAACTGTTTAAAACCCCAGCATGCAGAAACTCAGCAGATATAAATTTTAACTGCAGTAAGGCCAGGATAATTTCATTTTATTCAATGAAAAGAAAAATAAACTTTTATGACCTGGTGGTGCCAGAAAAGTTTAGTTGAAGGTGCATGGAAATTTTCTAGTTATTGCCACACATTCTTTTCCTTGGTCCTTGGGTGTGTGCCACTTCTTCACACCATTTTCTACCTTCAAAAGGATAAAGCTTTCAAGTGTTCTTTTTCTCTGATATTTGATTATTATGAAAATTTATAAAAAGCAGACTATCAATATCTATCTATCTATCTATCTATCTATCTATCTATCTATCTATCAGCAATCAGCAATAATGCTGTAGATGTTTTGGCATGTGTCCTTTCAGTCTTTTTTCCTATGAATATATATGTACCACTATCTTCAGTTTTACTGGGATCATACTACATTTATGATGGACATCTTTTATACCAGTAAATACCAATAAATAACACACTTTTCATAGTTGCATAGTATTTCCTTTTATGTACATGTCATTACTGATTATTCCATGACCAGTGTTCTAAATGAGCTGGAGAGTTTCCTGGGAGTGGTTACTTCATGGTCACTTAACCCTCAGTGAGAAATGGTTGGTGACTCAAAGCAGAGATCATGCATGGTAAAGGGGATAAAGGTCTGTAAAAAAAATAGCTCAAAACCCACTGCTTTTAGGAATCTTTCCCTGACTGAGCCCTGCTCCATCTGGTCACTTTATCTTCTTTGTCCCAACAGAAGGGGATAGAACAGTATGCAGGAGTATGGACTTTGGAGCCCGACTGCAAGTGTTCACATTCTACCTTTTGTGACATTGGGCATATTACTTAACATTTCTGTGCCTCAGTGCTCTCATCTGTAAAATGAAGATAATAATAGTACCTGCCTTCTACGCCAGATGAGGTGATTCATTCCAAAAGTACCTGGCAGCATAGGACCTGGCACATAGCTAGTATTCAATGAACGGCAAGATTTCTTACTATTACTCAGTTCTTCAAGTGGACCTCCCAGTTTGTGATTTTGAGATCTCATCTGTATGCTCGAGGAGTCCTATTTGAAAATTTTAGGTGCCAAAATGACTTTAAAGTATTTTCCACACAGTGAGCCCCCAGCCAATATTGCTGATTGATTGACGTACACTGGCTTGCTGCAGTTGTGGAGTCTTTTTGGTTGAATTTGTCCTTCATTTCTTATTTAAAAAATCAAAGCAAAACAAAAGGCAAATCCCAGAAATCCTAGGTGGATGTAAGTGAAATGCAGTTCCTTAAGATAGTTGAACATTGGGCTTTCCTACATTCTAAGGAAATTCTTGACTAGGAGAACTGAGAATTCTTAAATGATAGTGGTAATTACAAGAGATATATAAAAGAACTGAAAATCATTGTTCTGGAAGACTAGACTATAACAGAAGAGTACATAAAATCTTGTGTTTCTTTATTTATTTGCTATTCTTGGGAACTGAATTATTTCCAGTAAGTAAATTTTCTAGGTGATGGAAGTTTATCCATTTAATCACCATAACAGTTTGCATTTTAACTATTTTGATGTAATTCTTTCTAATGCATGCTGCATAGTTTATAGCTTTCATATAGAGAAAAAAACAATTCAGCCAATTTGTTAGGCTTTGAATCTGCATCATTAATATATGTTTTCATTTTCAGCTCTGCCAAATAATCTAATTTGCCTTCTAAAGACTCTGACAATTGTACCCTTACACAGCTCTTTTCACTTTTTTAAATATTTATTTCTTTATTTTTGTTACAGATATTTCTCCTTTTTCCCCCTTTGACAGCCTACTCCTGATCCCCCCCCCCAGCATTATTGTTTATGTCCATGTTTACGAATACATGCATAGAAGTTCTGTGGTTTATCTCTTCCTGCCCCATCCACCTCTTCTGAGGTTTATCACTTCCATGTCTCTGGGTCTATTTTGTTCCTCGGATTATTGTGTTCATTATATTATACAAATAAGTGAGATCATGTAGTATATTTTAATGATTTTTTGTATTTCTTTGGTAGCAGTTGTTACTTTTTCTTTTTTGTTTCTGATTTTGTTTATTTGGGTTCTAATTGTTTCTTGGTGAGTCTGTTTAAGGGTCCATCAATCTTGTTTATCTTTTCAATGAACCAGCTCTTTGTTTCATTGGCTTTTGAATTTTTTAGTTTCTATGTCATTTATTTCTGCTTTGACATTTACTATTTCTTTCCTTCTACTTGCTCTTGGTTTTTTCTTTTTGTTTCCTTTCTAGTTCTTTAAGTTGTAGAGTTAGAAAGTCAATTAAGAATTTTTCTTGTTTCTTGAGGTAGTCCTGTAGTGTTATGAACTTCCCTTTCAGAACTTCTTTTGGTGACTCCCATAGATTTTCTGTTGTTGTTTTTTTCATTTTCATTGGGTTCCAGAAAGTTTTTAATTTCTTTCTTTATCTCCTTAGTAACCCATTCATTGTTTAATAACATGCTATTTAGCCTTCATGTGTTTGAATATTTTGTTGTAATTGATTTCTAGTTTTATGCCATTGTGATCTGAGAAGATGCTTGATATAATCCCTTTTCAAGTTTTTTTCTTTTCTTTTTTCTTTTTCTCCCTGACAGGGTATGTCAGTTTTTACTTTTTACTACAAAAATGTGCTTAATTGCTTTCCCTATTTCCAAAACACCTTTTTTATTTGCTGATGTATATATTTTGTATCCTGGGAAACCAAAATCCCAAGTCTGTTGCTGTTTTGTGTAAAGCGCGATTAATAGGCATTTAATGAAATCATGTATTTAGTGATAGATTATTTGATATTTTAAAATCTTTAAAATTTAACTTCCTGGTTGCAGCCTATTATCTGGTAGAATTTTGACTCTTGGTAAAATGCCATTTTATTAAAACTATAGTGCTTATTGTTCTCTATTTAGCATTGGTATCTTCATGACGCTCATAAATTAAGTATAGAAATTCATTAAAGAAATATAATCACCTGTCCACTATGCAGTTGTTAAAAGTTTTGTTAAATAGGATCTGGTTATTTTTAATACAAGAGAAGGAAAATATTTTCAGATATCTTTTCATGAGTGTTTTTCCATCTTCTTTACAGAGACATACTGATGGGTATAACTGTAGGGAAACTCACAGAGCAAGAATTTATAACCATTGTACGTCACTATGGGGTGCCTGACGAACCGTGTGTAGATTTGAATCTCCTAATGGCAATGGCCCATGAACAGCTCAAGAAAAAATTTTTTGAGAATTTTGAAAGTCTCATTTCTTGCTGTATATATGAAGATCGAGAAAAGTAAGCTTTTATTGATTCTAATAAATAATTTAAGTTTCTATGAACCTGAGTATTAAAGAAATTTATATTTTATCAAAAAGGCAAATAGAAAATTGACATGTCTCATCATACTCTACTGTTTAGCAAAGCCACCTTAAATCATTTTTGGAGAGTATCTGGGTAAAAAATAATTCATAGTGATGGTGGGCATTGTTTGTTGATGTGTCTTCAAAAGAATGAGATGCTCCTTTGTATTTTCTTTTAATTGGTTTCTAAAAGTTTTCAACTAAAACATAGCAAATTAAGATGTTAGAAGGTTTCTTCTTTTTACATTATTTTAGTGATAACTAGGATTTGTAAACAGGACTTGTATAATATACAGAACAAGAAACTTGCAAGTAAATTCTAATTTCTTTAGAAGTTTTTTGAAATTATTTTTTCTTGAAAATAATGAAGCTCAGCATAATTTATTTCTAGTACATTTATTATGTTTGCATTAAGCTTTATTAAGTCATTGTTATAAACAACTGGACCCCCACCTTAATATGTTTTGGTGTTCATCTTTCCCACAGACCTGATATAGTGGGAGGAAGTACTCATCTGGAGTTAGAAAATCTTAGTTCCAACTCAAGCTTCTCATTTTGTTACTACACACCACTGCCGTCTCTCTTCCTAATGACCTCTTCCCTCAATCCCAAACCTGAAGTTTGCACCCAAGTAGCCAGCTCTATATCCTATATCTTTGAGGTGCTATAGTTTATCTTAACAATGAACATGATTTTTTCCCCAAATCCACAATATATCCTCACTGAGGTTTTATAAAAATGGTATTTTTCCTTGACTCTTTAAGTTTCTCTGAGCCTCCCAGAGGATATGTAGCCTGAGTTTTGCACCCTGGTTCTGCCTTCCACCTTAGTGGTACCCCTTCCCCATGGTGAAAAGTGTAGTCGTTCTTCACTAAAGAAATAGCTCTTGGGAATAATGGGGTGCTTGATTAGACGTTTATGAGACTTCTCCAGATCCGACAAGCTTTGATTCTAGACATAAGTTTTCTCTCATAATTTTATAACCTCATTGTAAAGAAAGAAGCCCACTTTCTTTTCCTGTTGGTCCTAACTTTGCCTGTTGCCTGGAAGAACATTGGCTGAGTGAGAACTTTAGACAAACATTTCTGTGCCCCTGCTGGGGAAAATTACTGTTGGGCTGCTCTGGAGAAAACATATAACAAAATTGAGGTGAATTGGGGCGTCCAGTTTGTAAGGTTTGGGTCCAAGGAAAAGACAAGAAAAATACCCTCAAATTATATAATACTTGTGTTGGAGGCTCTAGATGCCTGTCAAATTAAGAGATGTTTTCAAATATCAGAACCATTTTTGACTAGTGGTCAAGAATACAGATTGATTACTTAGAGCAACACTCGGCTGTAGCCTTCATAGGCTACTATCACCAACGAAGAATCTGAATTTTTATTGAAAGACCTTTGTAAGGACAGAATCAAGTAACTTCTGAAATGGAAAAACTTGATGAAATGAAATATGATTGTTATTCCTTACGGAATTCCAATAGCAATTTTCATACTTATTTCCAAGTGTACATTTTTAGAATTTTCTTTTAGAATTTTAGTATTTTCTTTCCTGTAGCATGAAACTGTTACTTAAGAAACCCAAAGTATATATAAGCTCATTTATTTTGTTTTAATCCAGGAAAAATGTATTACCCAGCAAAGACATCAAAAGGCTGTGCAAGTCTTCCAGGTTACCTTTGACTAATGATCTTCTAGAGTCCTTGGTGTCCGAGTAAGTGAGATCTGCATCCTTCTTGGGAATTGTCCTTCATGTTTTTGTTTAGGGGACTATGCCTGTTTTACATTTACCTTTAATTACCTTTGTTTTACCCTTGACTATTTGGTTATATTATTGATGACATACCTCCATTTAACTATTACAAAATAAAAATTTATAATTTTAAATATTAGGGAGCCTATTATGAATTATTATTTTATCTTTTTACCGTTAAGGCACATGTGTATATACACAGGTTGGTGTGGCATAATGAAAATGTACATTTTCTTTGGCTATGAGGGTATTAGATGTAAAATTCAGGGCATATTTTTGAAAGCATTAGTTCCTGATGGCTAAAGACATGCCATAAGAGGACATAGTGTTATTAGCACAGGGCTCTATCCTGCTAGAGCACCAGATGTAAAACATGGAGATTCTAAGGTCCTAAAAGGAAAGCATGGTGAACTGCTTTCTAAAACAAATAATTTCTCCTGTTGAACCTAACTTTTGACTTCCTGGCACCACCCTCTAACCACCCAGACTCTGGTCATCTTTTATGCTTCCTATGGCATGACTTCAGCCCCTCCTCTGATAGACTTATCTTGGTAACTCTGGCATTTTGGTCTTTTACTAAACATTGTTATTATTGCTTTGAATACATTATCTCATTTCCTTTGTGAGAACAATTTGGTGAGATAAGAACTGTTATACTCATATTACAAGAGGATGCTGAGGTTTAGAGAGATGAGGTATTTCGCCTAAAGTCCCATAGTCTAGAAGAAGAAGAACTGTGACTTAACTCCTGGACCTTTCAATTATTGTCTAAATAGCCAGTAGATTAGAATATATTGACAGTTCTACCTCCTTCCTGCTATATGAATCCTCACTCTCTTCTATCCATTCCCACTATCTTCAGTCCTGCTCTGACCCATATTTTGTCTTTACTTTTTCAGGGTCTCTACATTGTTCTTTCTTCCACTAGTCTCTAAATTTTATTTATTTATAATTTATCTTCATTGTTGAAAGTATTACAGATGTCACTCCTTTTTTACCCTATTGGTACCCTCCTCCCTGCCCCGCCCCCAACTTCACCACACTATTGTCTGTGTCCATGGGCTATGCATATATGCATATAAGTTCTTTGGTTCATCTCTTCCCTCCCTACCTCCCTCCTTTGAGGTTTGTCAGTCTGATCCCTACCTCCATGCCTCTGGATCTATTTTGTTCGCCAGTTTATTTTGTTCATTATATTCCACAAAAAAGTGAGATTATGTGATACTTCTTTTTCTCTGACTTGCGTATTTCACTTAGCATAATACTCTCCAGGTCCCTCTTGTTGTCTCAAAGGGTAAGATATATTTCTTTATTACAGCTGTATAATATTCCATTGTATAAATGTACCACAGCTTTTTTATTCACTCATCTACTGATGGACACTTGGGCTATTTCCAGATCTTAGCTATTGAAAATAGTGCTACTATGAACATGGGAGTAGATATGCTTTCTGATTGATGTTTCAGGCTTCTTAGGGAATAGTCCTAGAAGTGGGATCCCTGGGTCAAATGGCAGTTCAATTTTTAATTTTTTGTGGAAACACCATATTTTTTTCCATAGTGGCTGCACCAATCTGCGTTCCCACCAGCAGTGTGCAAGAGTCCCCTTTTCTCTACATCCTTGCCAGCACTTATTTGAGGATTTGTTGATGGTAGCTATTCTGGCAGGTGTGAGGTGATACTTCATAGCTGTTTTAATTTGCATCTCTCTGATGATTAGTGACATTGAGTATTTTTTCATATGTCTCTTGGCATTTAGTGTATGTTCTATTTGGAGAACTGTCTGTTCAGGTCTTCTGCCCATTTTTACTTGGGTTGTTTGTCTTCCTTTTGTTGAGTTGTATGAATATTTTATTTATTTTGAAAATTAACCCCTCATTCAATGTATCATTGGCAAATATATTCACCCATACAGTGGGTTCCATTTTCATTTTGATGCTGGTTTCTTTTGCTGTGCGGAAGTTTTTTAGTTTGATGTAGTTCCATTTTAAAATTTTTCCCTTTGTTTCTCCAGCCCTAGGCAATATATCAGTGAAAATTTTATTACATGTTCTATCGAAGACTTTGATGTCTACATTTTCTTCTGGAATTTCTATATTTTCATGAGTTATATTTTAGTCTTTTATCCATTTTGAGTTTATTCTTATGTATGGTGTACGCTGGTGGTCTAGTTTCATTTTTTAGATGCACTTGTCCATTTTTTCCAACACCATTTATTGAAGAGACTGTCTTTACTCCATTGTATGCTCTTACCTCCTTTGTCAAATATTAATTGAGCATGTCTTGAGTCGATTTAAGGGATCTCTGTTCTGTTCCATTTATCTATATGCCTGTTCTTGTGCAAGTACCAGGCTGTTTTGATTACCCAATACCCAGAATTGTTATCCCTCTAATTCTGTTCTTCTTTTTCAAGATTGCTGTGGCTATTCAGGGCTTTTTAAGTTCCAAATAAACTTTTGGAGTGTTTGTCCTAGATCTGTGAAATATGCCATTGGTATTTTAATAGGGATTGTACTGAATTTATAGATTTCTTTGGTAGTATGAACATTTTAATGATGTTGATTCTTCCAATGCAAGAATATGGTATATGCTTCTAACTTTTTTATATCTTCCTTTGTTGCTTTTGTCAGTGTCCTGTAGTTTTTTGAGAAGAGGTCTTGTACCTCCTTGGTTAAGTTTATTCCTAGGTATTTTTTGTTGTTGTTGCAGTGGTAAAGAGGACTGCTATTTTAGTTTCATTTTCAGAGTGTTCATTATTGTTGTATAAAAATCCCATGGTTTCTGGATGTTAACCTTGTATCCTGCTACTTCGCTTAATTCATTTATTAAATCTAGTAGTTTTTTGGTGGAGTCTTTAGGGTTTTCCATGTAAAATATCATGTCATCTGTATATAGTGAAAATTTTACTTCCTCCTTTCCAATTTGGATGCCTTTTATTTTTTCTTCTTGTCTGATCACTGTAGCTAAGACTCCCAGTACTATGTTGAATAAGAGTGGCAAAAACAGACACTCATGTCTTATTCCTACTCTTAAGGAAATACTTTTAGTTTGTTTTTGTTTTTGTTTTTTTCCATTGAGTATGATGTTGGTTGTAGGTTTGTCATATATGGCCTTTATTATGTTGAACTATGATTCCTTCATTCCCACTTTGCTGAAGTTTTTATCAAACATGGGTGCTGGAGCCCTGGCTGGTTTGGTTCAGCAGTTGGAGCACTGGCCTGCGGACCAGACAGTCCTGGGTTCGGTTCCCGCTAATGGCACGTACCAAAAAACAACAAAAAAAAACACAAACAAAAAAAATGGGTGAAAAGATGGCAACCAGCAGGACCTGAGGGAGAGTGAGTTTGTGAGCGAGTGTGTGAGAGAGTGTGAGTGGACATGAAGGTGGACTACCAAACCCGAGCAGTGCACAGCCATGGAGCAGAAAGTTCCTGTGCTGTGCACTGGAGCAGCCCGCTACCACTGTGGGTGGCTTGTCAGGGCATTTCTCCCTGCACTGCAAGGAAGTCCCACCATTTTGGGAGATACCAGGTCTTCCCTGGGAGGAGGCAGTGGGAGCAGCTAGGGCTCAGAACTTGAGCCCACCAGCACACCTGGCACCATGGGACCAGTGGACACTCTGTGTCAACACAAACTGGTGCACAGTAATGCAGCTCCAAGCTGCAGACAGCCTGGAGTCCAGCACCATCCCACATAGTAGCAGCCCAATCAGAGTCCAGATATACCCCCAGCAACAGAGGCTGGGGAGCAGACATCCATCCCCAGGGAACAGAAGCACAGACCAGCAGATGACACCCATCCCCTAACACTACAGCAAAACCTGAGCAGGAGTTGAACCCCACTGGGCAGCAACACTCCCCAGTCACCAGCTGCGGGACCTGGGGCTTCACAGAGGCATGTGCAGTTTAGTAGCCCACAAGAACAGTGGGAAGCCTGATCCTGGGAGAAACTGATATGATCCAGCTGCCCTCCCATGGGACCTGCAGTGTGCAGGGACACGAGAGAGGACTGTGTGACCCAGCAAGACTGTACAATCTAGTTACCCACAGGACCAGCAGGGTGCTGAAGCACCAGAGAGGCCTGTGTGACCTAGCAGGGACTGCGCTATCTACTTACCCACAGGACCTGTGAGGTGCTGAAGCACCAAAGAGGCCTCTGCTACCCAGCAGACCTTAACATAGGCATAGAGCCTGGTCCCTAAATGGACTGTGTGATCCAGTTACCTGTGGGACCTGCATGGTGTGGGTCACCAGAGAGACCTGTGTGACCCAGCTGCACATAAGATAGGCTTGGAGGATGTGAAACTGGAGGCGGAGTGAATAGAAGCTACACAGAAGATCTCCCAGGACCAAACAGAAATTACAACTAAAATAAAGACAAATCCTTGGAAAAAAGAAACAGAAAAGCAGCATGACAGGACCATATATCTGGGGTAACTGGTAGGATCTGCGAAGGTGCAAGAGAGTGGTGGGCTGTGAGCACACAGACAGCAGCAGTCTTAGCTGTGAGCAGTGCCCTTGGGTAATAAAGAACAAGCCTGCTCCACAGTGCAGAGAGCCAGGACAGAGCATTAAAATGGATACAGCCACTGACCTGGGGCTACAGCAGAGGGAGGGCAGAGTGGGCTGGAACTCTGTGGGCACACCCGTGATTTGGAGGGCACTCAGAGTTTTTGCTGAGTTGCGGCCACTAAGGACTGTGGCCAGTGTGCTCATTCCCTGAGCTGTGGGGAAAAGCAGCATCTCCCTCCTCAGAGATTCAGCCTTTCCCAGGTGAGGCAAAGAAATGCAAATTGAGGCTCATTAATAACCAGCATCTATTCCACCCTCTGAAAAAACTCCTATGCAGAACATCTGGGCTACATTCCAATGCCCTGAACAACTGAGACTCCTGGCCACGAGGAAAAAGCTAGAGGATAACGGCACCTTTCCTGAGCTTGCAAATGTATCCAGGAAAGTAAGA